GATTGAGTTGCTTCAATCGTCATCAGGAGTATAACATCAATCGAAACTCTCAACAGTACTGTGGCAGTACACGTAATAACAATCTGAGATGTTCAATCACAATAATGTTGGTAAAAAACCCTTGCGGTGGTGTATTCATACTTAAGTGCTGACAATGACAGAGTGACAATGACGATGCCTACTTAAGCTTGGTTCACGTCGAACTTTTATCTAGATATACATCCACTTAACTAGTTAAATGTTCGACGTGAACCACTCAATTATAGCTAGTTAAAGGAATTAAGTCACTTAAGTTAAGTGACTTAACTTTACTAGAATAACGGTAAATTAACTTGTCTCTTATACACATCTAGATGTGTATAAGAGACAGTATATGTGCATGTCCCATAAGATGCATCCCTGGTACCTTTGCCCTTTGCATCATCGACCAAGTAATAACGTTAAAAAGTCCGATTGCGTACGTTTTTCAAAGTGATAATGTATATTTTTCTTAATGATAAAATCAGATTTGTTGTATTTATTTATTGACAATTCAATCTTTTCTATTTCTGCTATAATAGTCGCTATTAATTCAATTTCAACGAACTACCACCAACGCCAGTCGTTAAAATGAGCGCACATGTTTACGATGACGAAATAAAAAAGTGTGTGGAAGTCAGCAACTTATTTGACACCGCGAAGCTAGATTTTCGCGAAGTGCATGTGAACAACACAATTGAGCGATCTAAAAACTACAAAACAGGACAGAAAGGTCCATAAAGTATACATACGTTTTAATGAAAATTAAAACAATATTAATTGTTAAATGGAAGAATGCTAGCTAGCGATTAAAATAATTCGTTTTTTATCGAAGGTAAATGTAGCTAGGGCCAGGGCCTAGAGAATCTACCACTTAGATTGCGATAGAACACGCTGCTGCACTGGTCGTTGGTTCATACTGGTCGGCTAGGTTAGGTAGTGGAAACTCACACCTTCTCTACAGTAGTTTACAATTTTTTTGAACGAATACCACTTAGTACTAGAGGTTCGTAAAATACAGTAGATGTTTTATTAAACAAGCCTTTCCACCGTGTGACGTCGATGGCCTGAAACTGGCTGGCTGTTTATCTGGCTCTAACTTGACATCGAACGCAATTAGGGGATTATCGTATCATGTTTCAAGACGGGTATATCTAGATAAAGTTCGACGTGAACCAGGCTTTAGAGTACATCACGGTGCACAGGAGAGTTTTATCAAGCTTATCAGTTCATAACGGATCAAAACAATTTAACACAAATTTGGAGAAATGGTCAATGACGTAGGTACAGCAGTGTAGCCAGTGCAAAGCACGGGGGTCCGGGGCTATTGGGCCCGTTCAATAGGCATATAGGTCTAAAAATATAACTTTAAAAAATACTACTTAAATTTTCCCCTCAATTAATATTAGGTTTTCGTCGTCGTCATAGCATACACTTATCGGAGCTTAGCTTCTTTCACAGCAACATTATACAAATTTCTATTCTGTGAAATCCTTGTTGCCTTCTCCATCTACATCTTGGCCGTCCTCTGCTTCTCTTGCAACTCTTTTCCCCCTCCCATCTTGGGCTTCTGCTTCATGATGTGGTGACATTCTCAACGTAACAGTTCTTTTCAGAACTATCTAGCCCTACGTGGTGTACCGCAAGGATTTCAAAATATCAATATTATACTTTATTAGAGACTCATAAAAATTCCCTAACCTAAATATATATACAGTATATGACTTGACTGTACTTTGTTCTCAATATCCTTGAAAATGTTTTCGAATATTTTATAGATATTTATGCTCTTTACAATGCCGTATCCGTTTTAACAATTTCAGAATGTAATGTAGGCCTATGCATTAAGAATTTTGCCTAAGTAGACCCCTCCAAGTCTCTGTCTCTGGGTCCGATCAGGTGCCTTTTGGGGCCCGGCAATTACCTTGCACTAGGGCCTGTCACCAACCCGCCACGGTGCTGGAAATAGTAATTTTATTAAACCCTTTTTACAAGTTTTGGTTCAATGTTTTCACAGGGATCATTTCATTTGTTTAGTACCAACATTTTTATAACATCTTTTTTTTTAGATCCAGATGCGATCTGACGACCCTCAGAAGCTCGTCCACGACCCAAACTTGGGTCGTGACCCACAGGTTGCCAACCGCAGTGGCTTTAACAAAAATGAAGACAATAGTCATTCAGTGTTGGTTCGTTTTCTATGGGCTTACACACTGGTAGAAACTATCTTCTTTAATGGTGATGCGCGAATTTACAAAAAAAAAAAAGAAACAAAAAACAAAATGTAATATGGCTGTCAGACCTGTTCTGCTCAGTGGTGAACCTAATATTAACAGATGGGGCAATGCTTAACCCGAACAATTCCTGGCTGAAAAAGTTAACCATTTTGGCACAAAGCATTTTTTTCGAAACTCATATTATTTTAAGATTAAGGGATGTGAATTCGGATGATAGAATTAAGTAAAGGCCTAATTCTGACATGATTTAAAGCTACGAAAACTATGTTGAACAAATGGTACTCAAACATTATTTGTATTTTGACGGTCCTTGGTGCCGTAATCGGGGCCGTAATGTAAGGATCAGCCGAAAAACGAGGTAAAAAATATGGTTGGCATACAACACTCACGGTTTTTTTTTGTATGTCCAAATAGACTACTTTTTGGCCCTGCCATTTTCCGTTTGTTTTATGCATCGAAATACATACTGTCCATGTTTGAATATTACGTCACTTAGTTTTAAGCTTAAATGCGGTACGACGTCTATTTTTTTTTCAAATCATTTTTATTTAGTAAAAAATCACATTATATTTAAAAGTTAATGAATACAAGAAAACACACAAAAAATATCACAGAATTGTCATACTGAAAGTCATACCTGCGCTGACAGTTACAATGGAATAAAAGAAAAAATATAAGCAGCAGTCACAAAAAAGATTAATGTTTAAAAAAAACAGAAATGAAGCAGGAGCATGATCGACATTAAAGCCATGGAAATTTTGCCAGGATTTCATATTTATAAGTTGAATATAGGTTATTTAATCCATGTGGATTTATCTCTGGCATAAAACTAATATTATTATGAAGAAACTATTGCAAGTTTGGATGTTTTTTATCTTTAAATTTAAAAAAGGGAGTTGAGCAGTTAGCCGAACTATATGAATTGCTTTGTTCATTATAGGCTTAAATCTGGAATATTATCGGTATTTGAATAATCCCTTGATATGATAATCAAAGAGTCCAATTTCTATAGCCTCCTTTTTTGTCCAATTTGGACATTTTTTTGAACATAATTAGTAATTTATTGATCATTGATTACCATAATGCAAGAATCCGCTGTCACAAAAGGTATACCTCACGGAATGTTTTCTTAAAATTAGACGTTTTTTTTTACCATTTTATGTTCTGTGGCACCCACAGTACGCATCACACATTATCTGTTTTTGCCTATTAAGCTATTTTAATACATGCGATATCTAATTAATCCATTATAGACTTCATTCTGGCATAGATTTAAGCTTAATAATTGTTTTTCCGGATAATATAATTATGTAACGGATTAGGTGTCTAATTTTAGCATAATTCGCAACATATAACAGATATGAAAATTATGTTTTCCTGATCTTTGTGTACTATGATATAGTAATCAGCTGAACAAAAACACGGTGAATAATTTACCAATTTTGGCAAGAATATAAAGGTATTGTCCACCGTTTTTGTCACCACCAGAGTATCACAATAGTATCACCACAGCTTCAACTTTGTCACAGAATTATCATCGTCATTATCACCATCAACGTAATCATGATCATCCTCATTATTTACATAATCAACAACAACATCATCATTAGCGGCATCATTTACATCATCAGCAACAACAGCATCATTAGCATCATCTTCATCATTATAAAGTACTGTACAGAGTCTAGTCCTAGCCCGGTATCAGCTCATAATATTTCAACATAGTTCTAAATAAAATATATGAACTCTGCCACTTTCACTCGTGGGTTTACTGTATAATAATTCATTCAAGGAAGACGGTGAATTTGCAAAAAAAAAAAAAAAAAAAAAAAAAAAAAAAATGTTGAATTCTGCGTAGTGTTGAAACAAAACGTACGTGCTAGTTGAATAAATAGCGTCACCTGTCCTGCACGCGAACACCAACTTTTGTTCTTTAGAGAATTAATCCGAGACAAGGTACAATGAGAGTGAAGCGCTGGTGTCATTGTACCGTCCGATTGGGTGCCCACACCTTGAATATTGTTTGGTGATCTGTAATTGAAGTTCTCCCACGCAAGCTTTCGGTTACTAGGACTGTTCTATGGTTCATTCATAGATAAACAATAATTATATATACACACATATATAAAGTGATTCCTGTCTCTTATACACATCTAGATGTGTATAAGAGACAGACTGTATATATCTCCCAGTAAATCCACACTATTTGAAAATTATTTGTACTTTTAAGCCATAGGATTGATGTTTTGTCCTACCTGACGTGTTATCGTACTGAATACTCAGTACGTCCCCAAATACTAGCGATAAAAGTTCGCAAGTGGGAATCGAACCCACGACTTCCAGGTATCTAGCCTGATGTCTTAACCACCAGACCACCGAGCTTGCGCTTGGTGACTAATCATGAATCCGATCCCCTAGTAGAAGCGGGTACTGAACGTGCCATTACGATGTGAATCTATTGTATCTTTCGGAAGAGTAGGGGGTTACTCCGATGCTATAGTTCCCCTGCCGTGAATAATAATGTGAACATGTAGCTATTATAAGGCCTTTTTACGGCCGCTAGGTATTCACGGACCACGCGCCCATACACAATATTAGCACAATGACGCTGCGCGTTATGGGTTATTCTCCTACCTTTACCTTTACCATTCTCATAGCTTAATATTTTCACATGAAGAAGGTTTTGTGTATATTTCATTTGTATACTGATGTGCTCAAACACTGAATCAATTTAAACAAAACATCTTCTGATTTCGTTCAAAGTGGAATTTATTATAAAATATACCTTCGCCAGACTTGTTCTTGAACTGGAAATAAATATTATTCTAGAAATTATTTCAAAACGTGTGGATAACATAAGTAAACGAATAACAGCGACGTTTAATTATGATTTGGATTTGAAATAATAAGTTAAATACATGCCGTAATTTTTTTGAATACTTAATCACAGAACCAGAATATTATAATATTCATATTTTACATTAATAATACATATTTATACCACTCATTTCTAAATGTACACTATGAGTGAATTAGTATTTAAAGTATAAAATTACAAGCTATAATTAGTAACCTACCATAGTTCGGAATTTGATTTATTGAAGATAAATATCATAGGATTACGTAAATTCATAATTAAACTGCTTTTTGTTTTGAAGAAATCTGGCTATGACGTCACGTCACTTTGTAAACTATATACACTCCGACGCACTCAAAATCCAATCAATAAATTATTTACTCATAACCACATTATTCGCTGTCATATCTCTCTGCCTATCCTACCATAGTGTTACATTATGCCGTTAGTTACAATGTATCAAATATAATTACTTCTAAATACAATAATTGTTCAACGGCGTACAGTAAAAAATTGCATTTCGATAAAAACTTTGGCTGGACAGGTAGCGGTATAATACGTTGCGAAGGTCTAGGAAATCTCAATTTTTAAGAGTAAATGAATAGTTTGTATTATTATTATTATTATTATTATTATTAATATTTAAATAAATAAAAATTATCATTTATATAACAACTATTTGTAAAAATATGCAAATATTACAAAAAACAAGACTGCTGATGGTAAATATAGATTAATCACAATTCTAGTAGAAAATACTAAAGCCATTGAAGGAATATAATACAGGCTAAAGAGTGAAATAAACTGGATATTCAAGTGATTGAAATTGATAGAACTTGCAGCCTGTCATTACATTTTGAAAAATACAAGCTGTTACAATGTAGAAGTGGTATCTATATAATATTTTCTCAAAAACTGTTGAAGTTGCATTTCGATCCCAGGAGTAACACATCATGACGGTCCATAGTCTACTAATTATAACAGTCAGCATTCGATATCAAACATTCACCAACCTGTTGAGCTCTGTATATATCTTGATACTGTACATGAATGTACATAATAATGTTGTGATCAGAAAATGTACTGACTGAAAGGATCAGTCATTGTCAGGGGAAGTCTACCCGATGTACTCTTGCGTTTATTTTATTAGTTTTGCTGAATCATTATCTCATCGGAGTGCTATATTTCGCAGAAGAGGTCAATACATCAGAAATCAATTGTGGTGTGGAAACGGTTGGCATGTACACTTAATCAGGCGTGTGATCGTTCATACATTGCCCAAGTGGTTAATAGTTCCTGATACAATAATGTATGTACACCTTGTTGAAATCTGTTAAGTGAATATCCAGTTTGATCTCCAATGCGTTGGCAAATATGTGGTTTTGCTTAAGGATGCTGCAGATGTTGGCTTACTTTGTCCACAACGATAGCTTTACTTCCCCCTTACCGCAATCTGGCTATCCTTCGGACACAGCCCTACTTTGGACAATATTTCGCTTTTATGCACCTATTTCTATGCATTACGTATCCGGCTTTACAGTGGCAACCTGCAACGCACGGCTTATCACATTGGTAGTTGCCATTGTTGTTCTTGCAGGTTCGCTCACAGGCTGGCCCGCAGACATCGAACATAGCGCCCTCTGGGCAAACTTGAGCTAAAAATAAGAAAAAACAGAGTTTATTGATTTACTGATTGTCAAATCCGTCTGTGGGTCAACATTTAGTAGCAGCAACGGATTAACTGTAGCAGTTCATAATCACATACTCTCACGCTTACCACCACAGTAATATTTAAGCATTCCCTTATGACTTGCACATTATTTCAAGTGTAGACCCACAAATCATGGAAATGAGAACTGTGCAGCAATCCTCAATCTGACCCTTACATTAAAATAATGACACAGCGGGAAAAATTACCAAAAGCGCTCGTCCTCAATATGAAGAAATAATGGTAGAATTACTACGCTTCCATAAGCACAGTTTTAAAAGCACGCACACTATGTCCACAGGAAGAAGACATTATATTTTGGCAAGATTAGCTGAAAATGGATGATGAATCAATGCAGATGCCTCTTTTATCAACAGATGACTATTAAAATGTTAGAAACATTATGATGACCTTTTCTATTTGACTATCAAAATGTTAGAAACATTATGATGACATTTTCTCTTTTTGTATCTTTTCTACAACCTAATGATTGCAATCTATAGTTACATTGGTATAGATGTAGGTCTGTTTAAGCGCACTAGGAGTTTTTGCTGTGAGTTCAAAAGGTTTTTAAGAAAGCATGTATTATGCGCTATGATTGTACATCTATTTAAAGCTCAGAAAACAGTTTACATATACATCTTTAAAGAGTAATGAAAATGAGAGACTTTTCTTTATCAATGCCTTCGCCGCATTAAAGCGTTTTCCTTTTTCAAAATTTCTTGAATTTTGAAAGATGGAAAGTTTGATCTTAAGAGCCTGCTAAGATAGCTAAAGTCGCTTTCTTGAAACTTTAAACGGGTACTAAGTTTGGATTTAGTTCCAAATGACGAGGGAACGTGCTGTTGTTTTCAGATGTGTCAAATATTACTACAATTACGAAAACCTTATAACCTATATATTTTGTGTTATGCATGGATGTAGTACTTTTTGCTGATGGTTTACAAAGCACGTATGACACATAACACTCATTATTATGGCTATCATACTAATATTTATGTCGGATGTGATACATTCTTATGTATTACTAGTAAGGTTTAATATTAGAAACACCAAATCTAAAATAAGACAAAAACTTTAGTGTACAGTATACTGTATAGGTGTTAACTTAGTTAAAATGTTAAATTATCACATTTTAATAATAATTATATTATTGTGTTACCATTGTAGAAATAACATTCAAGCCTATCATTGTTTGGGTCAAAAACTGTTTACAAGATTCAACAAACTTAAACATTATTTTAAACGCAAAGTGGCATTCTCCTGCCTTACACAATGACCCTATCAAGTAAATAGATAAGTACGACAGTTTATCGTTTAATTACAAATTGACGTTGACATATTCCATAACTTCCCATAAGGTGTATTTTTCACTTAAAATGTGCGTAATGTTTTAACCCATGACAATGCAAATTCAATTCCATTGGGTTGGGGGAAGAAAGGTAGTTTGACACTGTACATGTCTATCATTCGTCTCGTTAATATTCTAAACAGCATGGTCCTAGATCTGTGGGGATTTAGGGCAACAGTGCTTAACCCTTTGTGTCTATTACGTGCCTGTGTCATCGTGTAAGAACTGACGATTTGTAATATAATTTCTAAAAAGTAAATGTCAACGAATCTGTGAGAGACGGAACAGAACTGTAAATTGGAATCTGTGACCAATGATTGGGGAAAGACACCGGGAAAGAAGGATTGACATATAAAAACTCATAAGAAACAGGTTCATAAGTGACACAGACCTGTGATAATTATGATAGTAGAAATGTATCCTAATTATTAGTAATTACCTTCACATTCAGCTTGGGGACTCCAGTCAACTTTAATTCCCTTGCGTTCACAGGCTCTGGAATATGCCGTTATGGCCTCACACGAACACATCTTGTTCTCGGGACATTCACACATATCAACTATACACGATCTAAAACAAACAAAACAGCACAAATTGATAACACCGGCAATAAAGAAAATCATGTCTATTAAATCTAATTTAAAAAACATGGAAGTCAAAAATCATTGAGCTACAGACACTTTGAAGATGGTACTTGGATTTAACCATTTCATATAACCTATCTTCGTTGTTTTTTACATCTTTCCTGGCAAAGGTAAATAAGTTAATCCAGTGAGGAAAGAACTTCATTTACAACTAATCTCAGCACGTAGGACATACAATGACATTAAAATCTTTAAATAAATTTCAATCATAGAATTTCCTCCGTTCATTTTTTTCAGATCATAGGACTATTTTGAAGAAAATTGTGTCAAGCACTGTGATATTTAGGAACAATATCAAGGGCAGTTCAATTTTATTTTAGACATTGCTTCATTACAATTATGTCAGCTAAAGTTGAGTGATTATACTGTATTCACTATTCATTTTTTATTATATCCCTGTTGAATTTAGTGAGGTTTGATTTGCCATGTCCTTTAGATAAATCTATAATCAATAATTAACATCTGAACATGTCGTATATAACTGTCAAGCAGACGAACATTGTATGGTTTTGACACTGTATGATCGTGAACGTTTATATGGCCTAGTATATTTACAATTTATGTGGTGCTTCGAAACCAATAATGTAGATTATATCCTGAGATAAAACGTTTATTTGAACTCATTTTGTTTAGTTAACTTCTTAAAGAGCCAGTGTAAATCTAACATAAATATTGTCCAAACAACACGCATTATCAGTTGGAGTTCAAGACCAGATTTGTTTCCAAAATGGATAACCATAACCTTTGCAATTGCCCGTGTTATGGAAAGCACACCTAACGGGTAGATTCTCGTAATCTTTAATGTTTAGCAAATTTGGCAATAAATGTATAAAATAGTAACCTTGAAATAATACCTAGAGTAGTGGGACTGCCGTGTAGGCCTACTCGGATAGGCCAATAGTACAACTTTAGTTACAAAACAAGATATTCTGTTTTATGTTTGAACATTGTCAGTGGAACGTGTTTCCACTTCTTGCATAGCGAGTTGATTTTCCTTTCTAAATTCCCATTGATTATGAAAACATTATAATATTCTCCATCTGATGATTTTAATGTAAATTATACTCGCTGACGGTTAGTTCATGGTGTATGGCGTGAACTCGTGAGACTATCACTTTGACCTGTGATTATATATGCAGATATGACAGTGGTGTGCAGGGACGGGATATCCCCTTGTGCGCATACCCAGATTTCCTATTTCATTGTAAAAAGAATTGTCGACAGATGACATTGCTAAATTAAGTTAGAGATGATGGTACATGGAGGGAATTTACGCCTGCCTTGTTGATAACACCTACTTATGGAAATGATTTCCCTTTGGCAATATTTACCAGTATATTATGCATAGAATCAACATTAAGCATTCTTCTATTTTCGATCACTAACTTCTCTCTGTCACATTTGTTATAATTGGGACGCGCACGCTGATTTTGATGAATCACGTCATTAATGCTTAACTAATAAAGCAATTTCAACACTAAGATGTGGTGATCATTATAACTTATAGTCACGTGATGTTACACCACGTACTATAAAATATTTAAGTTCCATTTCCCACGAGGTATACAAATATTACAAATTATCGTTTTGTGTGACGACAGCACTTAGTTTGAACTTCTCACAAAAAGAACTCAGTTGAACCGGTTGGTACATGTTTTATAGTTAAAAGACAATGAAAGCCCTGAAATCGTAACAATTATAGAGGAATTTAAACCACCATAATTGAATCGACTCTCGATGGGAAAACTGTTCCATCTCACTGTTCACATCTGAAAACACCACAAGTTGGAACAATAAGCTTTTGCAATATATACCATTAACATCGATATCCATTTTCCTGGGTAAAACTAGTCGTGTATATTTTTATAGTAGGCATAATGGGATAGTGTCGTACTGACATATATAATAGTACCAATAATATGTTATGCACCTCCTGATACGCTATACCTCAATTATTTTTTGAAAACGCCCTCTTCAGTATATTTTTTGAATCTTCATTTTGACTCTTAAGAATAATTTTAAATACTTCTTATTTTAAAAATTTTAATTTTATCCTTATTTCCATGATCCTCTATCTGTTGTTTATGTAATCTGTTGAAACAAACTTTCGTAATATTATAAATTCAAAACCATTAAGTATTGACATTAACAATCTCGTTATTATAACTACAGTATACTACGGAGCCAACATGACATCACTATTACACTTCTGGGTATTACATTATTATAACTACTATCAATACGGAACAAACATAAACACACATATTAAGGTGATTAAGTACCTGTGGTAATTCATATAATCAATAACTTCACGGCATTCTTTGAAGCTGTCTGATTTTAAAACTTTGCACATCATATGAGCCTTCATTCTTTTTACTGTGCTGACTCTCTGACATGGAAAATTCATCGGTTTCTTCGGTTCGTCTTTAGATTTCTTTTCACAGCTGTTCTTCCCCACTTTCCAGGAATTCACGAAACTATTTGTACTTCTTAGAACCTCACCACCGGGTGACATATAGTCGTCACTGCCGATATCGTTGTAGTTGCCACAGAGGCCACAAAGTCTACCCTTGTACGACGTGTCAACCTCTACCTCGGCAAAACTGTCACCATCCCAAGCAACTGAAACGCCTAGGAAATAACAATAATACAATTTTAAATAAAAAAAGTTCTTCTTGACTGTGATGTAGCGATGATGACTTTGGTAACTGGAAATGTATTTACTAAATAAGAAGAAGATGATGGTGATGACGAAACAAAAAACATATAGGTACTAGCAAAATTAGATTTAAGTATCGAAGGTTAAATAGAGATTATTACATAGTGCCTTACCTATATCAGTTTTTACTGTGATGAGTGTGTTTTCCTTGGAAATATCAATACCTCGGAGGCTGTAAGGTAACGATATTAACTCTTTGTTTACCTTGACGTTATAGTAAGGTAGCAATACAATGTTATAATTTCCGATAGAAAAGAAAACCGTTTTGGTCCAAGAGTAAAGTCCCGTGTTACGGTCGTCATTTTTAACTTTCACGGAGAAGCTTTTTCCCACGCAATCTTTCGCTAATATGTATTTACAGTTTCCCTGGAAAGTATACGCTTTCCCATCGAAGGTTTGATAGTGCGGATCACCGTACACAGTACATACACCATTCTCTGTTGAAATAAAATATAAAAACAATCTAAACACCCCTTTTTGTCAAAATTAAAAAGAAATAAACATTTAAAAAATTGTAACAACAAATGTTTAAATCCAATTGATCTTGTTAAACACCTGACGAGTAAATACTGCACAGAAACGAATCTGAACATATTACTGCGCAGCATCTGGTGATGTGGTCCCAAATGTAAAGATAAATTTAGAATTCATTCGGATATGATGCAGAAATGTGCGTATAATAGACATTCTGATATGAAGTAGGTTATTTACAAAGACAAAACAAACGGTAAAGCAGAACACGCATATGGAAATACGAGAAAAATTAAATGTTGTTTAAATTTGAACTTATTACCCAATAAGCAGGACGTTGAAAGTAACACTCAGGTGGGAATTCAACCCATGGCCTTCACATTTACTGGTCAGCTGTTTCCACCTGTAGTACGCTACTTTGTAAACCGTGAAAGGTCAGGATTTTAGTGTGAAAGGTTCTGACTGGATATTGTATATTAATCGGAAGTAATATTTATACTCTTTTTTTCTAAATATAATACTATCACTAAACCTGGATTTAAATCTCATCTAGGCAATTAATATACACTAATACATATTGTCATGGTATGTTGAACATTATTAGCTTGAATCGAATTCAATTGAAAGCAGTGTTAATCTTAGTGAAGTCAACTCGAATTGTAAATCGAGTCATTTTACCCTTCGGTGCCAGCAACAAAAAAATTAGACAGAATATTGTAGATCTTTTACACAAAATACTTTAACACAGATACACCACGTTCTGCCTCGTCACCCTCTTTCACACCTTCGCTAAACATTCCATTATGGAATAAATCCCATATAAATTACGTGACCTGGTGACGAGACACAAACCAGGGCCTTCCCACGCTTACAAAGCTAGTCTATTGTCACCGTTTAGCTAAGGTAATGTATGGAGTAAAAAAAAACTTGTTGGTTTAAGTTGTTGAAACATACATAATACTGTAATACTCGAAATAAGCACACGTCCACTATCAAACGTAGTACAAGGTTGGCGCAATATGTTCAATTTGTTTGTTGTGTGTATATGCTCATGATGCCCTAATACGTACAACAAACCATTATTACATAAGCTCTATAAATAAACATAGGAAATAATGAAGGAATATGCCTGCATTGTGTGTTATGCCAGATCCGACAATACTGTAAATAATGTATGATTTACTGTGCAAAAAACTAGGGGTTTGCCGAATATGATATGTTTAGGGATAGCCTGCAGGTGTATCTAATAAACTGTCAACGAAAATTTATTTGAAAATCCCCTGTTACAAATTGTTGATAATTTAAGATAAGTTGGCGCTGAGAGAAAAACATAAATCACCAATACAAATATTTGACTATAGCTTTCCGTCTTCTCGTTTGTAATCTACACACAAGCAACTTCATTCAATTCGTTCAACCCAAGCAAAATTAATATCCTTAAGGTTGCTGTCAATATTTAGAGGGCGCGCTTCAACACACATTTTGCCATTAGCAACGCTTCATTTCATACATTGTTCATGGTCCACCAATTCAACAATGAATTTTTTATTATTTTTTTTTTAAAGAATTCATATCATGGTGACTTATAGTGGTATATGAAACGGTCAGGGTCGGTATATTCTTTTCCCTGTCACGCAATTTATTTGTACTACTGTTTACTTGAATACCTGGTTACCCACAACTTCATCATTTTCCATCTAAGGATTACTGCTTCTTTTCATAGATTATCATATTAATGAGCATCCATGCAAAACCCCCTCTAATATTATGACAACTAGGTATGATTTCAAACATAGAACTGCAATATTTGTGGCAATTATACAACACGCGCATTCTATCTACAAAATCCGGTCTATAGGCACACCGTAACTTTTTATCAAAATGTTTGTTCTAATTGGAAATATCTGGGTGTACCATAGCTAATATTACTATTAGTCAATTTACGATCTTTCAGGATTTAGTAGCTCTTTAAATTAGGCATACTTGCTGCTTGGTAAAGTCAAGACAACAAGTCCTTGTTTTAATAATTTCTTTCGCATTTGAAAAAATAAAGGGCCTATATAATTTTTAAAAAATATTTCAAAGATACTGAGAGTTAAAATGTTTGGAAAATGTATTAAAGTTAGGTTGGTGCTTTAGTGATTTAGACGAATAATATATTGAGCAATTATTTCAATTAATAATTTTATTTAATTTGTAAAATGGTCATATTTTACAGACATCGAGTTGACGCGTCAGTGATTCTATAGTTTAAAGAACATACTCAAAATATTTTTGTGTCCATCATAAAATTTAATACTGTCTTGATTTTTTCCCCAATTGAATAAAATTTCAGTGACAGTACTTAACTGTTTGACCTTTTAGCAATAGGCTGTAAATGAATGAATATGCAACAAGGTGAGATCTGCTACTATGATTTGGTTCACCCAACAAAAAGCTAACCTCTGTCCAAATACCTTCATATAATCTTTTATGTGCCTGTAATTGAACAGACATGATGTCAGTTCGAACTGTTGTTCTTTTTTTGACAAGTTATCAATCTAAATTATTGAAACATGTACGTATTGAGCAATTACGAACCACACGACTGAGTCAACGATCTTATCTCAACCTATACAAAATATGATTCCATTCTTATGGACAAGGTCGAGATCTCACTGATAACTCCACAAAAAACCAATAAAAATAACCTTTTCTTTAGTAAAATGACAATGCCAATCAATGGTATACCTAACGTATGACAGGTCTTCTGTGAAACGTCTAAACTATCGATTTCAAATACTGTTAATATGGCTTTTCTAAATAGTTCAAAGTAGTTTTTAAACATCTAGAGTTGACACTTTGCTTCCTTGCTTTTTTGTCAATGTCTATCGTTGGAACTGTACCGAAGCGGGTATACATACACACGTAGGCCTATATCAGATTAAAAGTTTTAGTGGTGTGTGTGTGTGTGTATCACATACACACACCACTAATCGTGAACAGGTATGCCCATAATTTTATGAAAGTGCAATATCATGGAACATATGTTGTGCGTGTAGCTGTGTCAATCTCGCTCCAACGGGAAAACGTGTTAATTTACTCGGTAATTGTCGACAGGCCTTTCAAATTTGATTAAAGTTAGCTTTGCTAACCCTCACCCCACCCTATGTGACGTACTGATTTGTAAAAAAATTACCTGTTGCTTAAAAAAGTCATTTACATACTTTCCTTTATACTTATTCTTTATCACACACCCTCTCCATGCCCCTTCAGTATGATTATTATATAAATATAAAATAATGAGGTGAGGTAAACTATAAACACTATCATAGTAGAAATAATCCACAAAATTGATATTTATCCGTGTTTGTATCACTTATTTGTCATAGCCTATAAGTAGGCCTATCACACACAAGAAATGAATTTTTAATACGAATATAAACTGAAGTAATTGCACCGACTGTAGTATTGTCTGAAATAATAAGAATGTGTTTCCAATAAACTGTTTCTAATTTGGGGAAATTCTCAGAAGACGTGTGTATTAAAGTTTGTATTTCCTGGTCAATGTCTAGTACAAAGCCACGACATGGTAATAATCTTAATAGCAGGAAAGGTTGGATACAGAGGTGCAATAGGTTCAGAAAGAGTAAGTTGATTCGATTAAATCAAACAACAAGGCATGTTCAAGTGAGTTGAAATGTTCAGGTAATTATTGTTATATATATATTCAATGTCAAGTGACATGTGTTTAAGTAAAGCCAAGGAGGAACCCCCTAACGGCTAATATCAGTACTGTAGTTTAAGTATGTTCTTTCAGTTACAAGTTCCTTCAGTGTTTCACATTGACTATGAACTTATATCTGGGGGTCATACGTCGGCCTCTTTATACTGCGGATGTCGAAGGCCCCAGATGTGTTGGTACCAGAAAGCACTCGTTGTTCCAACCACCGTCGACGATATTGCAATGACATTACAGAACTTTAGCGGTTGTTGTAATAGAAATACATCCGTGACTATCAATAGAAAATAATATAGGCCTATTGAATCATCATCGGAAGCTGAAGATTTATCGTAAAGAAAAAAACAATGGAAAGATGATTGTGACTCCATAAGTTTCTGAATTTAAATAATGAAAAAAAAAAATCATTGTTGAATTTATTCAGAAAGAGATAGACTATTGTCCCTCCACAATGGGCCTTTCCGCTAAGCCCCGCCCCTTGGATATTGTTGCTAAGGTCCCACAAAGCGACATTGTTAAAACATGGGCGAACACGTGCGTTTGTGGGACGACACGTGTGTTTGTGAGACGCGCGCGTATTCCTAGCGCTGTTCTGATTAGTCAGTTGTTAAGTTTGATTGACACTCCGGAAAGGTCTATTATAAGGATCGACTGTATAATATTTTTTGGCCTACAATCAGTGTGATTGGTAAATATCGGATGAGATACAAAATTGATAAGCAAAATCTAAAATGTAAGATTAAAGTATATTGATTTATGTTTTTTTAATTTTTTTAAATTGGAAACCATCGTTTTAACTAATTAAAACCTAGTCACATGACGGGCAACTTTCGATTCCGATGGAATGTTGCTATTAATAAATAGTTTGCAACGACATTTATTTACAAAAGTTACTCATACCTAATCGATGACGTTAGACCTACTGCCGATAGCAGAGGCGGTAGATACATTGACAATTATTTAGTCTAACAACCCACTTTTTAGCCCACTTTAATAGATCTATAGATATCTTCAACGTATTGCCGTTTTACATTAGTGACGTCACATAATGGCTGCGTAGTATTGTGGTTTTCTTCAAGAATTGTTGAATATTGCTGTTATCCGATTAGTTAAGAGTGTCAGCAATTAAAAAGCGTAACCTCAAAATGCGGCACGAAGTAAATGGCAAAGGACGATATGGTATACAGTAATAGAGTACTTAAGTCATGCGCTAACACGACAGCGAATATTTTCATTATTGAAACA